GCAGAGCTGTGGGAAGAAGGCCTGCAGGCCCTCACCGCTGTGTCTCACGCCACTGTTGCATTTCAGAGCAGGTAGGGGCAGGCCCTTAGAAATCACTCAGCCAACCACCTCCTTGTGCAGGTGGAAAACTGCAGCCCAGAGAGGGCAGGGACATGCCTGAGGACACACAGCATGCAGGTGATAAGGCTGTTTTCCTCTCTGGGCCTCCTGCAGATCTGTGCGTTCCTCCTGGGGAGGGGGTCAGCATCTTGGCCAGCTCCGTCTCCCTGGGATCTGACGGTCACAAAGGCAGTGTGCAGTGGGTGCTTCTCCAGAGGCCTCTGGGCACATGCTACCCACTCTGGGGAGACTGACCTAGGATAAGTCACTGGCTGTGTGTTCCCCTAGGGTTTTCCCAGAGGGTGGCCATGGAGGAATATTTACTGCCCAAATTTCCCCTTTTCAGTAAACTGCAGCTACTTCCCTCTGGGTGGCTGTTTCCTTCTGGTCACTGGGTTCCTGGAAGGCTTAAAAAGGCAGGGGTGGCCAGGCGCAGTGGCGCACGCCTGTAATCCCAGCACTTTGGGAAGTCAAGGCAGGCGGATCACCAGGTCAAGAGATCGAGACCATCCTGGTCAACATGGTGAAACCCCATCTCTATTAAAAATACAAAAAATTTGCCAGGCATGGTGGTGCGTGCCTGTAGTCCCAGCTACTCAGGAGGCTGAGGCAGGAGAATTGCTTGAAACTGGAAAACAGAAATTGCAGTGAGTCGGGATCACGCCACTGCACTCCAGCCTGGTGATAGAGTGAGACTCAGTCTCAATTAAAAAAAAAAGAGGCAGGGGCTTACATGGGCACGCAGGGCAGACCCTCCAATACCTCTCATGCCTGTACTAGATGCAGGGGAGGTACACAGGCCGTGCAAAGCTCACCCTGACCACAGGACCTTGTTGTTTAACCTAAGAGCCCTCAGGAACTGCAAATGTCAACAAACCATTTGTGAAGGATTCCAGGGAAATAGGAGCCACCAGAGACGGCCCCAGAATTTCCATGTAGGAGGCCCTTGGGGGAACGGAAGCTATATTTATTTACATAAACTATAAACATTGTCCAAATTGAAGATTGAGGTACTAAAAGAGATGAGGTAAAGCCACATTGCCTAGTTCCCTTCAGCTCACAGCCCTAGGAATGAGGGAAGAAGGCTTTGTCCATGAAATCAAAGCATTCCAGCAGGGCCTGGAGAAAGTCAGTGGGGTAGAGGGACCTGGGGAAGGGCTCAAGAGTCAAGAGGGTTTAGGGGTTGATTCTGGAGGCTCTAGGGATCCTCGGAAGGCCTGGGAAGCCTGGTCGTGCAGACAGAGACTCAGGGTCCTCCAGGGGACCCTCCTGAGACATTGCTGGTGGTTCTGAGGCCTTCATATTTCACCACGCTCACTGGGGACTCAGGCCTGTGTTTGTGCAGCCTCCTTACAGGGCCACATTCCAGACCCAGCCAGACCCAGGCAGGGGCCAGGCCAATTTATCCCTTAGGATTCTAATAGGCTCAGTGCCTGGGCCCGCCTGCTTGTGAAATGTTTGTGGCCTAAGAAAAATCTATTTGCTCGAAAACACAGGAAAAAGAGCAAAATTAGAATTAATGAACATTTAATTAAATGTCTACAAATGTAACATGTCACCTTTAGAGTCATAATAAAAAGGTCAAAACAGGGCAGGACACCATGGTATCATACCTTAATCCCAGTACTCTGGGAGGCCAAGGTGGGAGGATCACTTGAGACTAGGAGTTTGAGACCAGCCTGGGCAACATGGCAAAGACCTATCTCTATGAAAAATACCAAAATTAGCTGGGCGTGGCGGTGCGCACACCCATTGTCCCAGCTACTTAGGAGGCTGAGGTGGGAGGAACGCTTAAGCCCAGGAGCGGGAGGTTGCAGTGAGCCAAGACAGCGTCACCGCACTCCAGCCTACCTATTGTGTAGACACAATGAGACCCATCTCAAAAAAAAAGTCATTATGTTTGAGAACAATTTCTGGGTTAGGTTTCTCTCACTTGGCCAAAATTCCCACATAGACATGACAATTGCCAAGAAATCAGCCACTTATAAATTAAAATGAGAACTCATAATTGGATAATATCATGAGTGCAATTATGGATATTCCTGCAATAGTTTTAAGGCAAAAATTATGTATATGTTTATTACGGGATGTAGGGCATTTTCACGTTTGATATGATATAAAGTGTGGCCTCCAGAAGGAAGACGGCAGTGGCCTGCAAGCATTTTATTTATTTTTATTTATTTATTTTGAGACAGAGTCTCACTCTCTTGCCCAGGCTGGAGTGCAGTGGTGAAATCTTGGTTCACTGCTACCTCTGCCTCCCAGACTCAAGCAATTCTTCTGCCTCTGCCTCCTGAGTAGCTGGGATTACAGGTGCCTGCCTCTATGCCTGGCTAATTTTTATATTTTTAGTAGAGATGAGGTTTCACTATGTTGGCCAGGCTGGTCTCAAACTCCTGACCTCAGGTGATCCACCTGCCTCAGCCTCCCAAAGTGCTGGGATTACAGGTGTGAACCACTGTGCCCAGCCCTGCAGGCATATTTTAAAATGGCCCCAGCTTGTCTATGCTGGGTGACCAGGGAAGGACTGGGGGCTCAGGGGTAGGGGAGTCAGGCTGAGATCCAACTTGCCTACTGGGGGACACAGACAGCAGCTCTAGGATGGGCTGTCGAGGCCCCTTGTCCCATCCCATCTGGCTAGCCCTGGCCAGCCAGCCCAAACTTTCATTCTGGGAGCTGGGCTTGTGCCTTGTGCCTGTGAAGGATGCCTTCCTCCAGCCTAGCAGACATCAGCCCCCAGGAGATACCTAATGGGACTTGGTCCTGTCCACTGGGACCGCAGGTCATGGCCACCCTCACTTCCTCCTAACTTATTGATATTGCTAGGAGAGATGGGCTACACCCTGTCCTGTCTCATTGCTTCCCTGTACTGTGCCAATACAGACCCGGTTCTCCCAGCTCTTCCCTTTCCAACAATATTTCAAGGTCATAGCCCACCCTGACTGCCTACCACACAAGCCAATCACAGCCCCTTTTACATACATGGTGAGGCCCAAAGTGAACTTGGACTCCTTACTCCCAAGAACAGTCCACCCCGCTCCTGCAGCACCATAATCTCTGGCCTCCCTCGTCTGGGCCCGGTCTGACTCTTAGATTCCCCCCTCTCCAAATCCGCTGACTGATGAGGAAGACATCAGTGTTAACTGTATGATGATAATAAGCTGATATGAGCCGAGTGCTTACTATGTGTGAGGCACCCGTTGCTAAGCACATTCATATGCATTTCTCATGTAATCCTTCCAATAACAACAGCACGAGAGAGCTACTTGTATTTATCAACCCCATTTTATAAATGAAGAGACAGAGGCCCAGAGAGGTTAAATCACTTTGCCAAGGCCATGCCTCTGGTAAGTGGCAGAGCTAGGCGGCACATCCAGTCAGAACGAAGTCGGAGCCCAGTCCTTAACACTGTGCTGACTGTGCTCAAACACAGCTGGAGAGGGCTACGATGGGAGGTGCCCTTGCTGTGGCCACCCCAGCCAGACCTCTGATGGGCCCCAGGAAAGGAGCACCCATGTGGTGGCAATGTAGGGCCTGCAGAGGGTCAGCGAGCTGAGTGAGGCCCCAGAGCCTGCCCTCCCTACCTGGGTGGCTCCAAACAGGCAGTCTAATTTGTGACCCTGTCCAGCTCAGAAAGGTCAGTTTTCCACATGGGTCTTTGTGTCTGTATAAAACATGCAAATCTATGAGGGTGAGATATTTGGTTTGGGCCCTCACAAATGTAGCTACACACTTCCTTTTTCCTTTGAATAAAGTGAGCTCTTGTACTCACTGGTCCCTCTGCCTGGAATGCTTCCTTCACATCTCTGGTTGCTCCCGTCCCTCCCATCATCCGAGTCTGTGCTCCCTATCACAGGATCAGACCGGCCTCCTTGCCTGTCCTGAGGGAGCAGCCAGCTATCCGCCCCCCCATCACCTCATCCTCTCACTTTGCTTTTTATTTATTCTATTTTTATGTTTGTGGGAACATAGTAGGTATATACATTTATGGGTTGCATGAGATTTTTTAATACAGGCATGCTATGCATAATAATCACATCAGGGTAAGTAGGGGATCCAACATCTCAAGCATTTATCCTTTGTGCTACAATCCAATTATACTCCTTTGGTTATTTTTTAACGTGCCGTCAAATTTTTTTTGACTCTAGTCACCCTGTTGTGCTGGCAAATACTTGGTCTTATTCATTTTCTTTGCTTTATTACAAAGCCATAGATTTGCCTTTTGAGGTTGTGAGAGTTCAAATAAGTTAATCTACAAAGCACTGATAAGTACTAGGTGCTATTTTAACTGGTAATCATTTACACGCCATCATGGCATTTATACAACATAGCACACATTACATTTGCCTGCTTTCTGTGTGTCACTTCTTTGCCTTACTAGAATATAATCTCCATGTGGGCAGGAGAATGACTGCTGTATCCACCAGGGCCTGGCTTACAGAGCTATACCTGGCATTCAGAAGGCGCTCAATAAATATATGTTGAATTCAATGAATTAACTGAGGTCTGGAGAGGCAGGAAATGCTCTGGCTCCCATGAATTCTGCAAATATTTACTCAGCACGTACTCAGCACTAGGCCATAGGCTGTCTCATTTTTACAGTATTAGCTTGAGACTCTGGCAGGAGGGAGACTTAAAAATCAAGTGTTTAGAATAAGGTACACAGAGTGAAATGGGGTTTTAAGCCGACACTCCGTTGGGTTTCGAGAGATGCACGCTCCCACGTACCCACACTGCAGTGAAGAAATAGACCATAGCTTCACTCGGCAGGGCGGGGACTTGGAGCCCACGTAACACTAAGGCAACTGACCCCGGGGGCAATGGCCAGTGGGCGGGCGGGGGCGAGACTACAAGTCCCAGGCCGCTTTGCGCGCCGGCGGGCCTTGCGCCGCGGCTGGGCGGCGCGGAGGGGTAGGGGGCGCAGTGGCCGCGGCGCGAAGGCGCTGGGCGCGGGTGCGGGCGCGGGCGTGGGCGCCGACGGTTGGCTCGCGGTAGGGATGCCCGGGGCCGGAGCCCGGGCGGAAGAAGGCGAGAGCAGCGGCGGCGAGGGCGCGGCGCAGGGGGCGGCCGCGGAGCCCGGGGCGGGTGCCGTGCGGGAGCCAGCGCGGCTGTGCGGCTACCTGCAGAAGCTGTCGGGCAAGGGCCCGCTTCGCGGCTACCGCAGCCGCTGGTTCGTGTTCGACGCGCGCCGCTGCTACCTCTACTACTTCAAGAGCCCGCAGGACGCGTTGCCTCTCGGCCACCTGGACATCGCGGACGCCTGCTTCAGCTACCAGGGTCCCGACGAGGCGGCGGAGCCGGGCGCGGAGCCGCCCGCACACTTCCAGGTGCACACCGCGGGAGCCGTCACGGTGCTCAAGGTGGGACCGCGCGCCCCGCTGCCGCCCCCGCGCTTCCGCCGGCGCCCCCTGCCTTGGCCGCGCGCCTGCGCCATCCACTCTCCTTCCTCCGAGGCCTCCTCGCCCCTGCCCACGTCGGCCTGCGTTTTCCCGCTTCTCCACATCCCGTCCTCGTTCCTTGGCCAGTCTGGCTGTGGTCACCCAGCCCTGGCTCCTTCCTCAGACACCTTGACCCATTATCTCCCTCTACTCCTTCTCTCGGGCCGCTCTGTGATGTCTCCCGACCCCCACCATCCCGTGGATGTCCTGTGCAGCCCTCCCAGGCATCCATAAGCGTAGGCTTCTACCCCCGGGGGCTCCTTTAGGACTGTGTCTGTGACCTTGGTACCTCAGTGAACTGCTCTGCGTGGCAGTGGCCTCCTCTATAAAATGGGAGAGCAGTAGTATCTACCTCATGGGGTGTTGGGATTAAATGAATTATACTCTAAACTGCTCAGTATTAGTGCATTTGTTTTATTTTTATTTTATGTATGTATGTATTTATTTATTTATTCTTTTTGAGACAGGATCTTACCTGTTGCCCAGGCTGGAGTGCAAGATCTTGGCTCACTGCAGCCTACATGCCTGGCCTCATGTGATCCTCCCTCGTCAACCTCCCAAGTAGCTAGGACCACAGGCATGGGCTACCACGCCTGACTGACTAAAACAAATTTTAAAATTTATTTTTATTAATAAACGGGGTCTCACTATGTTGCCCAGGCTAGTCTCTAATTCCTGGGCTCAAACCCTCCTCCCCAACCAGCTTCCCAAAGTGCGGGGAAGCCAGGGGTGAGCCACCGTGCCTTTAGCACTATGGACAGAAAGAATCAGAGATGGCAGTGCCCTTAGAGACAGTCCACTACATTTCTCTCCAGAATGGACAGGGATGCTTCAGCTAAGGTCACACAGCCAGTAGGTGGCAGGCCTGTTTTCTTGCTCCTTGCTTTGTCTGGGAGAGTTGGGAGGGGGTCGCTTCAGCCAGTTATGCCTTGCTCCTTTGAGGCTCCATTAATCCTCCAGCGAACAGACACAATGGGAGATACAGTGTGGAAGTGGGAGAGTAGAGTCAGAAGTATTGGTGCTGAGAGGCCTTCCCTGACCTTGGGAGTCCCGGGGGACTAAACTGTCACCTCCTAGGAGCCCACCTCCATTGAGCACTTGGAGGGATTTGGGGTGCCAGCCTGGAGCTGGGTGTCCTTTCTCCAGGCTTTGCTCCTTGCCTGGTTCCTGTGAGTCTCCACCCTCACTGACTCCTCTTCCGTATTGCACGTTGGGCTTTCTCCAGGGCAACAGGGTTGGGCTGGGGTGTACGAAAGCAGTGACAAAGCTGGCCACACATAGAGCAGAGCAGGCAAGCACCTGGCCTTGTGAGCTCAGGACTGTTCCTCAGACCCCCCAGAGCTGCTAATAGCTGGAGCTGCTCCTGGGAGATGTTCTGAGAGCTTTGTCCACTCAGCTTTTGCCAATTCAAGAAGGATCTGATTCCCATGTTCTCTCAGGCTCCCTTGTCCTGTCTGTAAGTGGGTGCAGACAGCCTGTTTACCCAAAGGAAACCAACTCAGGTTGCAGTCCTACTCAGGGTTACTTAGAGAGCACCTGCATAAGCTTGGGAATGGACCTGTGGGGACCTTTAACAAAGGCAGAGGCTTTTCCTCAGTGTAGATACGGGCTGTCCCTGTGTCTGATGAATTTCCTGTGGGGTGTTTGTTAAAGAAAATAGAGTGTGTGTTTCAGATTTTTCCCAGATGACTGTAGAGCCCTCTATCAGTTTTTTTCATTAAAAAAAAATTCCGAATCTACATAAGCAGGGTTACAAGGGATATTGTCAGGAGTGTGGCTTTAAACTTGGATGGACTTGAACTTGAAGCAGGAGTGTGCTGCTCACACATGTTGGACAAGCTGCACCACTTCCCTTCCTTAGTTTCCTCTTTGGTCTAGTGGGAATTGTACCTTCCTCATTAGGTGGTTGTGAGGATTCTGGAGAATGTTACGGAAAACGGCTGGCACATTTTCCATAGTGGTATGGAAATTAGTAGGCACTACATGGCATATGAAACATCAAGTAGTGTCTTTGGCCAAATATGTAGTGTATTCATATAATGGAATATTATGCAGTGGTAAACAAAGGAATTAGAAATACAGGTGTCAATGTGGATTACTCTCACAAACATAAAATTGAGCAAGAAATAAGTTACAGACTGATTGTGTTGAGAATACCACTTACAGAAAGGTTAGGAGGATCATGTGGAACAGTGCTGCAGAGCATAAGGATGTATTTTGTGTGGGGAGAGGAGGATCTGCATGGGGCTAATGAGCCCTGGTTTCCAGGTGGTGGTTGCCTCTAATGGAAAGAGTGGGAATGTGACTGGGAATTTGTGCCTCAGGGCTTCCACTGTTGTTTTGCAGTATTTCTTGAACTGGGTCATAGGTGTATCAGTGTTTGTTATATTATGCTATCCATCTTAAAAAAGAAATATCTTTTCCTTTGGATTACTGACAATGGAGGAATATTTTGACATGTACAATTAAATTGGTCACAGACTAAGATAATACCTGAGGCCGAGTGTTGGCTATATACAACAATGGGAATGGAAACAGGCAAGGCTTTCTAGAAGAAGGGAGCAGAAGAACGGGCATGGTGGCTCACACTTGTAATCCCAGCACTTTGGGGGGCCGGGGCAGGTGGATCACTTAAAGTAAGGAGTTCAAGACCAGCCTGACCAACATGGTGAAACTCCGTCTCTACTAAAAATACAGAAATTAGCTGGGTGTGGTGGCCCATGCCTGTAGTCCCAGCTGCTTAGGAGGCTGAGGCAGGAGAACTGCATACCAGGAGGCAGAGGTTGCAGTGAGCCAAGATCATATCACTGCACTTTAGAGTGAGACTTTGTCTCAAAAAAAAGAAAAAAAAAAAAAAAAAGAAATTGGAGATTTAGGCTGAGGTAGGAGAATTGCCTGAACCCAGGAGGCGGAGGTTGCGGTGAGCCGAGATCGCACCATTGCACTCCAGCCTGGGTAACAAGAGCGAAACTCTGTCTCAAAAAAAAAAAGGGGGGGTGGGTAGCAGGGTTTTAGAGTAGGGGGTGGGTAGCAGGGTTTTAGAGTAGGGATGTGTTTGAAGAAAGATAAATTTCATTTTACAGTTACTTCTTTTCAGCTGTGGGAGTAAAATCTTTATGGTGGTAAGTATGGGAATTATCAATTTATCTTCCTTTTCATCTTTCAAATGCAGGAACTGATGTCCATAAGCCTTAATGTTCACCTAATGTGTCACTTCAGGGCTTCCCAGCCATAGAGGAGACCTTGATTTCTGAGGATTTTAAGTTAGGATTTAGCCCTGCTCAGACTTCAGCTAGTTGTGTATAATTTTACAAATACCACTTCTTTTCACAGAGGGTTAAAAAGTAAAGAAAAGTCAGCAATTTTCTTATTCTATTATTGTATGCTTTTCTTATTTTAAAGCATCTTTCAGCTTTCTCTGGAGAAGTTGTGGTTTTGTTGGGCTTTTTCAAAATGTTTTACTATGTGAGTCTTAGCGAAAGCTGATATAGGAATTTCTTGGTAAACTCCTCTATTCCCAAACTTAGGGATTTGATCTGGTGGTTTATGAGGTAATAGAGGCTAGACAGGGGATGGGATTTTGCCGACATGATGAAGCTAGACTCAATTCCTCTCTGAAAAATAGAGGTTCCAGGAACAGTGAGTGTCCAGAATGTGGAGTATCATTGTATATTGTCTGATCTGACAAGTCTACTTTTTTTTTTTTTACTTTGTTTTGGATCAAATAAGGTATAGTAGTAGTCTTTCCTTTTACTGCATTTGGTATCACTTTTTGGATAGTGAATATCACAAGGGAACATTTGACTGCCCAGTTCTTTACCAGGATGTATAGTACCTTTTACTGGACATGTCTAGAAACTGCTGCAAGGGTCTAGCAGAGGCTGATGCTCCCTCTGTGCATCTCTGTGTGTAGGGGTGCTGGAGGCTTCTCACGAACTTTCCTGGAATCTGAGGCATTTAGGGGAAGGAGAGCATGTGACTGATCAAGGATGAAGCTTAAACAGCCTTGCTCTTCCAGATCTCTGTAGGCTTTGGAGCAAGAGAGCGTCCTCAGACAGTCAGCACATGAATTCCTCCCTCCTTAGGTGCTTGGTGCTAAATGGACATGTGTGTTGGTTTCCGAGCCACATGTAACTGAATAGCTGGGTACCCCTATTCTTAACCCATTGTGGTGGGAATGCACATTCCCTGGTGCTGAAATTTCTCTTAATGACAAACATTTGTTGGCTTGGTAATCATAGTGTGTTCAGTACAAAATAGATGTGGTGAACCAGCCTTCTTTGCTGTATGGTTCTCCTAAGCTGTTCTGCCCTAGGGCATCTGCTCAGTCTTGAAGCATGATTTAACTCTTTAAGATATGGGGATTTAACTTTTCATGGCTTTCCAATTAGTAGGTTCCTTCCAGGCAAGTCGAGTATTATGCTTCTGATAGAGCACAGTGGCATTCCATCTCCCACTGCCTCTCACACAGTCCTCATTGCAGGGGAGTCTCCATCCTATTTCTTGCTCACCAGAGGATAAGCTCCCTCTGGTCTGTGTGGATCCTCACCTCCTGCAACAGTATCTGGCACAAAGGAGATATATTATATAGTGTTATGTTCCTGAAGAATTCATATGTTGAAGCACCTACTCCCAATGTGATGATATTTAGAGGCAGGCCTTTGGAAGATAATTAGGTCATGAGCGTGGAGCCTTCGTGAATGGAATTAGTGCCCTTATAAAGAGAGACCCTAGAGAGATGAGCTCCCTCCCTACCGGTGAAGATATAGCAAAAAGGCATTCCTTTCCAAAACAGGAAGAAGGTCCTCACCAGGAACCAAACTGACCAGCACCTTGATGTTGGACTTTCCAGCCTTCAGAACTAAGGATAAGTTTCTGTTGTTTAAGCCACTCAGTCTGTGTGGTGTCTTTGTTATAGCAGC